GTCTGTCAGTTCATCCAGGGCAGGGCCTAGAACCTCCCCCAAGAGTTCAGGGTGTGAGTGCATCTCTCAGTGTTGGATGGGAGTGCAAAGTCCATTTGTATACCCAGGATAAATACTGATCTACCACCCAAGGCTCGATAGATTACCTAGGCCTCCTCACTGACACCCACATTCAGGGGGTCTTCATCAGTCCCATGCTGGATTCCCAGGCATCAGTCTGGGATTTAAGAGCTAACCCTTGTCAGGTAAGCTGTTTCTGGGGGTTAAACCAGCCCAGTCTTAATGCCTTTGCTCATCAGTCCTCCCTCTCTGTCACTGGATTCCTTGACTTCAGCTCAGTGCTTAGGCATGGGAGTCTGCCTCTTCTTGCATCAGCCACTGAATGAAGGTTCTGTTTCCTAGACTATCTGGCCATTGGACTGTAGGCTGGAACTCCCCAGATCTAGGTCTAAAATCCATATATGAGAGAGTACATGCCATGTTTCTCTTTTTGTGACTGGGTTACCTCGCTCAGGATGGTTTCTTCTAGTGCCATCCATTTGCCTACAAATTTCAGGATTCCATTGTTTTTTCTGCTGAATAGTACTCCATTGTGTAAATGTACCACATTTTCTCTATCCACTCTTCAGTTGAGGGGCATCTAGGTTGCTTCCAAGTTCTGGCTATTACAAATAATGCCGCTATGAACATAGTAGAACAGACATCCTTGTTGTATGAATGGGCATCTTTCGGATATATGCCTAAGAATGGAGTTGCTGGGTCTTGCGGTAGGTTTATTCACATTTTTCTGAGGAATCTCCATATTGATTTCCAAAGTGGCTGTAAAAGTTGGCACTCCCACCTGCAGTGGAGGAGTGTTCCCCTTTTACTGCATCCTCTCCAGCATAAATTGTCCTTGGTGTTTATGATTTTAGCCATTCTTACAGGAGTGAGATGGTATCTCAGAGGGGTTTTGATTTGCATTTCCCTGATAGCTAAGGATGTTGAGCACTTTCTCAAGTGTCTCTCAGCCATTTTAGTCACCTCTATTGAGAAATCTCTATTTAGTTCAGCCCCCCACTTTTTAATTGGGTCCTTGGGTAGTATTTATCCCTGGCATGCAAATAGAATTTGGCTGCACATCCCACAATGAGGGATGCTCTCTCAGCCTGGCCTCTTGGGGGAAGACCTAGAACCTGCCCTGGATGAAATGACAGACTGTGGAGATCCTCCATGGAGGGATGCTCTCTCAGCCTGGGCTCTTGGGGGAAGACCTCGAACCACCATGGCTAAAATTAGAATTCAACAACAACTCAAACTGCAGAAACCTCACAAACTCGTGGAAATTGAACAATGTGCAATTTCATCACTCCTGGGTAAAGGAAGAAATAAAGAAAGAAATCAAAGACTTCCTATAATTCAATGAAAATGAAGGCATAATATATCCAAACCTATGGGACACTCTTAAAGAAGTCCTAAAAGGAAAGTTCATCGCACTAAGTGCCCCCATGAAGAAACTGGAGAATAGCCACAATAGAGAAATAATAGAGCACATGAAAGATATAGAACAAAAAGAAGCAAACTCACTCAGTAGGAGTAGAATACAGGAAATAATCAAATTGAGAGCTGAAATTTAAAACAGTAGAAAAAGAAAACAATACAAAGAATCAATAAAAAGAGTTGGTTCTTTGAGAAAATCAACATGTTATACAAACCTTTATCCAAACTAATTAAAACGTAGAGTCAGAAGATGCAAATTAACAAAATCAGAAATGAAAAGGGCGACATAACAATGGACACTGGGGAAAACCAGATAATATTCAGGTCATACTTTGAAAACCTGCACTCAACAAAATTGGAAAATGTAAAGGAAATGAACAATTTTCTGGATAGATATCACTTAACAAAATTTAATCAAGAACAGATAAGCAATTTAAATAGATTTACAATCCCTGAAGAAATAGAAACAGCCATCAAAAGTCTCCCTACAAAATTATGTCCAAAGCCAGATGGTTTCAGTGCAGAATTCCACCAGAAATTCAAGGAAGAGCTAATAACAATACTTTTCAAATTGTTCTGCACAAGAGAAGAAGGATCACTGCCAAACTCTTTCCACCAGGCTACAATTACCTTAGTACCAAACCACACAAAGACATAACTAAGATATTGAAATACAGACCAATCTCCCTCATGATCATTGATGGAAAAATACTCAGTAAAATACTGGCAAATAGAATCCATAAACACATCAGAAAAATCATCCACCAAGATCAAGTAAGCTTTATCACAGGAATGCAGGGATGGTTCAACTTATGAAAATCCATCAATGTAATCCATCATGTAAACAATCTGAAAAAGAAAAACCATATTATCATCTTACTAGATGTTGAAAAGCCTTTGACAAAATCCAACACCCCTTCATGATAAAGGTCTTGGAGAGATCAGGGATAAAAGGAACATAACTATACATAATAAAGGCGATATATATCAAACTGATAGCCAACATCACACTAAATAGAGAGAAACTCAAGGCAATTCCTCTAAAATCAGGAGCAAGACAAGGTTGTCCACTCTCTCCATATCTCTTCAATATTGTACTTCAAGTTCTTGCTAGAGCAATAAAACAGCAAAAGGACATCAAGGGGATACAAATTGGAAAGGAAAAAGTAAAAAGTTCACTGTTTGTACATATGATAGTCTATGTAAGTCATCCTAAGAATTCTACCAGGGAACTCCTCCTCTGGTAAACACCTTCAGCAAAGTGTCAGGATACAAGATTAACTAAAAAAAGTCAGTAAACCTACTATGGTAGACAATAAATGAGCTGAGAAAGAAAGCAGAGGTACATCACATTTTACAAAGGGCACAAACAAAAATATTGGGTAACTCTAACCAAACATGTGAAAGACCTTTATGACAAGAACTTTGAGTCTTTAAACAAAGAAATTAAAGAAGATACCAGAAAATGGAAAAATCTCCATTCTCTTGGATTGGTAGGATCAACATAGTAAGGACATCTGCTCAACTATGTTCATAGCAGTATTATTTGTAATAGCCAGAACCTGGATGCCCCTCAACTGAAGAGTGGATAGAGAAAATGTGGTACATCTACACAATGGAGTCATTTTAATTTGCATTTCCCTGATGGCTAAGGATGTTGAGCACTTTCTTAAGTGTCTCTCAGCCATTTTATATTCTTCTATTGAGAATTCTCTATTTAGCTTTGTGTCCCATTTTTTAACTGGATCCTTTGGTGTTTTGGAGCCTTGCTTCTTGAGTTCTTTGTAAATCTTGGAGATCGACCCTTTTTCAGATGTGTGGTTGGTGAATATCTTTTCCCATTCTGTGGGCTGTTGTTTTGTCTTGTTGACTGTGTCCTTTGCCTTGCAAAAGCTTCTCAGATTCAGGAGGTCCCATTTATTAATTGTTGATCTCAGTGTCCTTCAGTGCTCTAGCCCTGTTGGCCATAGACAATTGGCATATATAATTCCAGGCAGGTTACTTTCAGTCTCTACTGCTCTAGAAGATGTATGAGAACAATTTCCATGTACCCAACATGGACAGGCAAAGCCTTTGAGAAATGTTATTCAAGGAATGCAAGGCCACTCTTCTCCTTTTCTTTCTATATGTAACTAATGAACCCTTTCATGTTACGTACTATACATGGATAGTTGTGTCTCCTGGAAATCAGGCAACTAACAAATAGGACAACATAAACATACCTCAAAAAAGTGACAAAAGAGCCAGTAAATGTATATTTTCTTCTAGTTTTTATTCCTTTACAGGATATAACTGAAAGATAACAGGTTATGTTGACAATAGATGCATTTTAATAGATATCTCTCCTCAGAGTACCTCTATAGTTCCAGTAAAGAATCAGGGTAAATATAAAATAGTTATCTAGATTAGAGAAAAGGAGACATAAATCAATTAAAGAATGATGTCAGAGACAGTGAGAACTCAAAAGTCTATATCCTAAAGATCACTAATGATGAAAATGTTTAACAAATGGAATAATTACTCCCAAAATAATATTTTATGAGTTAGTAATATTGATTTTTCAGTATTATTTATGAATCAATTTAAAGTTAGCAAGCATTACCTTTTGATGAATCACATTTCCTAATTTAATAGCTTTTAAACTATGAAATGGAGTTGTAACAAAATAAAATCCTACTGTTAGTCACCAAATGCAATTGTTTTCTGAATGCAACCACACTGGTTGGAGTAGGATGTTGGGGAGATTGGGGGAAGGGGAAGGAGAGAAGGGAGAGGGATCTGGGAGTAAAAGGTTAATTTTGAAAATTATTATAAAAATAGCAATACTATGTCACTTATTGTGAAGATTATTTTTGTTCATATATTTTATTTATGCCAGAGAATACATAGGAAAACATTTTTACAAATGTTTTGATTTTACAAAATTTTTATCAAGATTGGTCTCAATTCTTCTTCAACATGTTTAATTTGTTTAAGCTATAGAAAATGGGATTTCACGTTAGAACTACCACAGTATGGAACACAGATCACTTTATATCAATTCTGTTGTAAAGATTATGAGTGGCAGGGAGAAAATAAAGAAAAATGAACCATATTACAATATGATGAAAACAGGCAAGATCCAAACATTGAGAAAGCATTCAGGAAATTTACAGTGAATTGGTATACAAATATAATAATTCTATTCTATAGGAATAAACAATATAACTTTAGTTCTAGAAAAACAGAATAGAATCTGTACTTTTATGAAGACAGAAGAGTCTTTGGGAGAACAGGTCTTTTGATTATTTGTTTTGAATCGGGAACAACAGAAATTAATTCAAATGTATATTTTTAATATAACCTCATGAATTGTTCTAATTTTTAAAATTGGATAATATGAACTGTCCTTCTCAAAGGTATTTGTAGAAAAACTAATATCATAAGAACTCATGAGTATGTTAGGCAATGGGAGAAGCTCTATTCTACATAAAATTTATCAATCAAATTCAAATTTGCTCCTTTGCAAAAAATGATTGCGATTATTTGAATAATTTATTCAGAGCCTCATTTACATCTTTATTTCTCAGACTGTAGATCAAGGGATTCAACATGGGGAAAACCACTGTGTAAAAGGTTGAAACAATTTTGTCCCTATCCAAAGAGTAGCTGGACCGGGGACGAGTATAAATATAGAGAATGGAGCCATAGTACAAGGTCACAGAAATGATGTGGGAGGAGCAGGTGGAGAAGGCCTTGAGGCGGCCCTGAGTGGAGCGGATCCTCAAGATCGTGGCAATGATGAAAAGATAAGAAACCAGGATAAACACAATGGGGATGATGACATTGGAAGCCAAGAGGAAGAACAACACAGACTGGAAGCTCCCCTTCTTGCCACAGGCCAGCTTCACTAGGGGTGGAATATCACAGAAAAAGTCATCAATCACATTGTCACTGCAGAAAGTCAAGGAAAAAGTGTCTTTGGTGATGATGACAGAGTTAATGAAACCACCCAAATATGAGGCTGTCGCTAAAAATGCACATAGCTTTAAGGACATGGCTTGTGAATAAAGCAGAGGCTTTGAGATGGCTACATAACGATCATAAGCCATGGCAGCCAAAAGGTAACACTCAGTATACCCAAGTCCAGCAGAGAAGAAAAACTGAGTCACACAGCCAGCAAAAGAGATGCCCTTGTCTTCAGAGATGCAGGTCACTAAAATCTTTGGAGTGTATACTGTGGACAATCCAAAGTCCAGAAAAGATAGATTTCCAATGAAGAAATACATGGGTGTGTGGAGTCGGGAGTCACTGCAGATCAACACAATCAGAGTGCTGTTTCCTAATACAGTTAATGCATACACAGCAAGGAAAATCACAAACAGGACTAGCTGTATCACAGGATCTGTTGTGAATCCCACCAGGATAAACTCAGCCACCGTATTATTATATTGTTCCATGGCCTTAGGAAATCTTACCTAGGGCTAGATAAAATTAGAGTTCAGCTTGAAACAGCATGCTGAATAAATGGAAAATACATTCAATAAGCAAAATTTCAAAGTTACTGAGTAACTATTCAAATGGAGGTGGAGGTGAAGGGACTGTTAGACAAGTTGAGGAATGGAAAACGGTAATTTGGATATAGTAAATGAAAGAATCTATTATCAATAAAGGAAAAATACATGAGGTAAGAATTCAGCAATATCTGAGACAATTAAATAACAAACATTTTGATTAGATAGGATTTGAGTTATTTCTTTCTTTTTTTTTTTTTTTTTTTTTTTTTTGGTTTTTCCAGACAGGGTTTCTCTGTATTGTTTTGGAGCCTATCCTGGAACTAGCTCTGTAGACCAGGCTGGCCTCGAACTCACAGAGATCTGCCTGCATCTACCTCCCAAGTACTGGGATTAAAGGCGTGCGCCACCAACGCCTGGCTGATTTGAGCTATTTCTGAATTATGAAATTGCTATCAAGTGCTGGTGGACAGCACATTTGTTGATGTGTTTGCCTTGTAAGCATGAAGACCGGAGGTTGATACTAAGAAATCACTTAGAAAACATAAACCAGATACTTTGGTGCATACTTGTTATCCCAGTACTAAAGAAGCCAAGACAGAAGGATTCCTCTGTTTCACTGCACACAACATAGATTCCTTGATGGCCAGTGAGGGGCACAGTCTAATAAGTATGCAAGCTATATTGCTCTGAGGAACATCAAGAGTTGCCCTCTGACTCCCACACATGCACACATGTCAACATGGACGCATTTCCACAATACACACTCAGCCACATGAGCACTTTCATATGCATACAAAAATAAAATAAAATTTTAAATGGTTGGAGTTTGAAAGGGGATAGGAGAAATCTGTGTCCTAAGCTAGTCTTGATATTTAAGATACCTTAATTTTACACATTAACATTATTGAATTGATACTCAATTTGCTCTTGTGTCCTGTCCTTCATTTGATAAACCCAATGAAACTATATTTGGAAAAAAGATAAAATTCAAGGAGGAAAAGTTGATGCTCAAGTCTGCATAGATAAGTGGCTTGATGAGAAGGAAATCTAGCCCCTCTGTATCAGTATCTCTCTCGGTTTCTCTCCTTTCTTCCCTCCCTCCTTCCATCTATCTCTCTTTCTCTAAGATGTACACTTCTAGCTTTTATTGAACCCCATTAAAAGATAACCATCTATTCACACTGATCTTGGATTTCCTTCAACTTGTAAAACTTAAAAAAATAGTATATCATTGAAGACACCACTACATGGCATCCTGTTTTCACAGACCTAGCACAAAAAGGCAACATTATCTTCATTTCGCAATTACGGGAACAGATGTCAGATACATCAAGCTGATATCAACAAATAAACTGGATTCATACTTAAGATTGTTAGAAGACAGAGACTAAACTCTACATTATATCAAGCAAACATGGAATACTAAGGTCTCATTTGTATCTCCAGACCTCCATTATGGAATTCAAAGGGAAGAAAAAACATATTAAAAGTACTTTGATTTGTAGGGATCATAATCCTAGGTTGGTTCTGCAAGGCTCAGCTTTTCATCAGGTCTCCTCTGACGACAGCAATGGACACATGCGACTATTCTTTCAAAAAAAATTCTAATATGTTGTGTTTCCTATCATTTTTGATCTTTCACTGTACACCAAGTGCTATACTTTGTACTTAAAAGTGAATTCAATCTTTATGCTTCTATACTTAGATATGGCTGAGGAATATCTCTCCTAGCACATAATACTAAAATGTAAGTACTAAAACAGAGTGTTCTGATGTGTCTTACTCCAGTCCAATGAGGATATTATGAATGCTGAATACTCTGGTGAAAAAGCTGGAAGACTTCTGGGGTCCAAAATCAAGGCTGAAGCATCATTGAAAATAGTAAATTTAAACTAAAAATGCTCTCTGCATCATCTGCTATGGTAAATTACCCCAACAAATCTCCATCCCTGACAATCACTCTCCTATTTTTGAGAGATCTTGCTGTTCCTCACATGTTAAAGAGCTGAGCAAATAACTCTAGGTTCCAGATCTTTAGCCAAGCTTACATTCCTCTCCTGAGAGTAGCTGATAATCTAGCAAGGTAGGAGAGGGGGAATTCTACAATGAAGTACTCAGGGAAATAGTTTGCAGGCTGCATTTGCCACAAAAAATAGGCACAACTGTTTACACAGGCTCACTGGATCTGTGGCTTAAACAGCCTTAAAAGTCAAAGAACTTTCACTGGATGCCCTTTCTGCTTAGAATTTATTTTAGACACTATTGTTGCTCATAAATATGTGATATGAAGGGAAGTGAAGTGTTGAAGAGGTTGGTCATGGGATACCACCCTTCACTCCCCAAATGCTTTACTTTCTTTCCATGTTTTTGTTTTCTTCTGTAGAACACTCAACAAGTAACCAGCCACAAAACTACTAAATCATCTAGATTTCTGTCTCTCCTCACTAGGGAGGACACCAATCCCAGAAAGGCATATTTCATTAACTGTTTTTCACTGCTTCTTGTCCAGTGTCTGTCACAAAGTCCATGAATCACGTTTCGTGAGATTGGGCGGTAGTGGCGCACGCCTTTAATCCGAGCACTTGGGAGGCAGAAGCAGGTGGATCTCTGTGAGTTCGAGACCAAGCCTGGTCTACCGAGCGAGTTCCAGGACAGGCTCCAAAACATGCAGAGAAACCCTGTCTCGAAAAAACAAAAACAAAAACAAAAAAAGCAAAAAAAAAAAAAAAAAAAAGAATGTACCACGTTTCCTGAGAGGATGAATCGATAGACTGAAGAATTTCAATCAAATCCACCTTGCAGTCCTATCTAATCATGCCATAAGCCCAAATTCATTGTTTCTTTTCCCATATCTGCTGTCAGAATCAACCATATGAGTATCCAGTATTCTTCAGTAATACATACCAGACAATTCAAAGAGCATCTTACAGAATTCAGATGACCATGTTAAAGGGAGGAAATTATCTTTTCAGTACATGGGGGATGGGAAGCTCTTGTTGAACATCACATCATCTGAGGAACTGATAGTTACCTACTTCAGAGGTGACCACAATGAGACTGGGAAAATCAAACTTATCATGGGGAATGCAAAGACTTGTCAAAATCCCAGGTCTTTCTCTACCACTCATCATGTAATTCCCTTATGCTTTGATCACCTTACTTGTAATTTTAAAAAAATGATCATTTAAACTGCAGCATGGGTAGAGCTATTGCAAATTTTGAAAAATAACATAACAGTTTTTAGTTCTTTTTATTTTAATTTTTTCTTTTTTTGAAGATATTGAATGGATACAAAGTTAGATAGGCAGGGAGGTATGGATGTCCTGAGAGGAGGTAAAAAAAGAAAATATCAAAAAAGATACAATCAAAAGCAATTAGAACATTTAAAAAGTCACTAGATGAAGAACTAAATGTAGCTAATGGCTTCTTAAAAAGGGAGAGTCCATTTTCTTCATGAATATGGCCCCTGTTAGGTAATCCATGGGTAGATCCACACCCATGCACGTGTGGGCAGTACTAAATGAACTCAGTGAGTTATTTTTTAATGACATAAAGGTAGGAGGGGTATTAGGTGGGAAGATTTGAGGGGAGAGAGAGAAGTCAAGACACACTGTATACAGATATGAAACTGTCAAAGAATGTATAAAATATATTAAAATATAAATAAGAACAAGCAAAAACAAACAAAGTCTAGTTACTCAAAGATTCATCACAAGGGAGACATTCATTAGCAGCCCCTAATTCAAAGGCATGGGCAGCACATGATGCGACTGGTGCAAAAGTTTCTGATTCCCACCCTAAGATGGTAAAATTCACTATGCAATGGTTCATGGACTCTTCTCTCACCCAAGTAGCCTGAGACAGTCTGACAAAAACTGACTCTACACACTATTGAGAGAAACATGATAGTATTGCCCATTTTTATAAGGATAGCAGAAGTCTTATTTTGCATGCTTGTTAAGATTTAATGAACTGATGTGTACCAAAAGAGCATATTGCTAGTGGTTACATATTTGAAGACAGCAATTCTCTTCTTCCAGAGGATGTGTGGTCAGAGAGGCCTAGACAGAATTCTGATATTAACTGCTACCTTTGGAAACCTAATTAGTCTTCATAAGAAGCAATTTACTTATCTTTGATATAATGCACTTATCTGTATTTATTTATTTCCTCCAATTTATGGGTGTTTTTAATTTCTACATTGTATTTAAAAATATCAGATAAGCAATAGATATTGTGTAATGAAGCTAGTATGTTAGTTCATATCATATAATGTATTATAAAACTAAAATAGTACTTATTCAAGAGCAAATATTGAATTTTTTCCATTCTTTATTTATTTGGTCATATACTTCTGTGACTCAATTACATCTTATTGATGACTTCAAATTGTTCATACTTCTTTCATAGCTTATTTCTGCCATTCATTTGATTGGTTTATACATAAAATTGTGAACTATGGTAGGGGAAAGCGACTTTAACAACCTCAGCAGTCTATATCTCAATAATAAAAAAACATTCAAAACTACAGCACAAATGTAGGGAATAAAAAAGCAACTATTTAATTGTACTTCTTAAGGGTTCCTTAGTGACATCAGGTCATAGGCTGACATTTCACTCTAAGTGAAGAGACATTGGCAACTGGGACCTGGAGAATAGTCAGGATTGAACTCAACTATGCAGCTGGGCCTGCATAAACTGTCCCAAAATGATTGAAGAAGTTGAATTTGGGAGGGAAGGAGGGAGGGAGGGAGGGAGGGAGGGAGGGAGGGAGGGAGGAAGAGAGGGTTGTGTAGATAGGGAGACAGGAATAAAGATAGGGAAGGAGAGAGTGTAGGAATAAAGAATGGAAAGAAGAAACACTCTTCTGGACAACCTCATTAAAAGGCTATGTCAAGCCTGACAGAGATATCTGTTGTTTAGCATTCTTTCAAAACCACTCA